TGCAATTTTTGAGAGCGCTCTGAGAAATAGTTTATATATTTATTTTCTGCAGATCTGTTTTGATTTTACTGTTTAGCAGCTATCTGACTTTATGTATATGTATATCCATATATTTCTAAAATAAAGCTGTCATATACAACCTTACTTGCGTTTCTTATTGTTTTTTGTTTTTTGTTTTTTGTTTTTCATCTCCCGGCCACTTAACCCCCAGATCGGGGTCCCTCACATGCTGCCCCGCACACAAATGATTATCACGCTTGTACACTACATATGTATATATACAGGTGCTGGCCAGTAAATTAGAATATCATCAAAAGGTTGAAAATATTTCAGTAATTCCATTCAAAACGTGAAACTTGTACATTATATTCATGCAATGCACACAGACCAATGTATTTCCAATGTTCATTACATTTAAATTAGATATTCATAAGTGACAACTAATGAAAACTCCAAATTTGGTATCTCAAAAAATTAGAATATTCTGAAAAGGCTGAATATAGAAGACACCTGCTGCCACTCTAATCAGCTGATTTACTCAAAACACCTGCAAAGGCCTTTAAAAGGTCCCTCAGTCTTGTTTTGAAGGCAGCACAATCATGGGGAAGATTTCTGACTTAACAGCTGTCCAAAAGACAATCATTGACACCTTGCACAAGGAGGGCAAGACGCAAAAGGTGATTGCTAAAGAAGCTGGCTGTTCGCAGAGCTCTGTGTCCAAGCACATTAACAGACAGGCGAAGGGACGGATAAAATGTGGTAGAAAAAAGTGTACAAGCTCTAGGGATAACCGCACCCTGCAGAGAATTGTGACGACAAACCCATTCAAAAATGTGGGGGAGATCCACAAAGAGTGGACTGCAGCTGGAGTCAGCGCTTCAAGAACCACCACGAGGAGACTCATGAAAGACATGGGATTCAGGTGTCGCATTCCGTGTGTCAAGCCACTCTTGAACAAGAAACAGCGCAAGAAGCGTCTCGCCTGGGCCAAGGACAAAAAGGACTGGACTGATGCTGAGTGGTCCAAAGTTATGTTTTCTGATGAAAGCAAGTTCTGCATTTCCTTTGGAAATCAAGGACCCAGAGTCTGGAGGAAGAGCGGAGAAGCACAGAATCCACGTTGCATGAGGTCCAGTGTAAAGTTTCCACCGTCAGTGATGGTGTGGGGTGCCATGTCATCTGCCGGTGTTGGCCCACTCTGTTTCCTGAGGTCCAGGGTCAATGCAGCCGTCTACCAGGAAGTTTTAGAGCACTTCATGCTTCCTGCTGCTGACCAACTTTATGGGGATGCAGACTTCACCTTTCAACAGGACTTGGCACCTGCACACAGTGCCAAAACCACCAGCACCTGGTTCAAGGACCATGGTATCCCTGTCCTTGATTGGCCAGCAAACTCGCCTGACCTTAACCCCATAGAAAATCTATGGGGTATTGTGAAGCGGAGGATGCAATACGCTAGACCCAACAATGCAGAGGAGCTGAAGACGACTATCAGAGCAACCTGGGCTCTCATAACACCTGAGCAGTGCCACAGACTGATCGAGTCCATGCCAAGCCGCATTACTGCAGTTATTGAGGCAAAAGGAGCCCCGACTAAGTATTGAGTGCTATACATGCACATTCTTTTCATGTTCATTCTTTTCAGTTGGCCAACATTAGAGAAACAAACATTTTTTCATTGGCCTTTAGAATATTCTAATTTTCTGAGATACCAGATTTGATGTTTTCATTGGTTGTCACCTATAAATATCAAAATTAAACGTAATAAACATCGGAAATACATTGGTCTGTGTGCATTGCATGAATATAATGTACAAGTTTCACGTTTTGAATGGAATTACTGAAATATTTTCAACCTTTTGATGATATTCTAATTTACTGGCCAGCACCTGTATGTACACACATATACATACATACACACATACATATACATATGTTACTTTAAAAACCTTTTATTTATTTACTTATGGTGTTCTGTTCAAAGACTGATCAGAACAGGATTGCAGAATTTGAATTTTGCGCAGCTTCAAACATTAATTTTAGCACTGCAGTGTAATTTACATATACGAGTTGCAACTTTTTAAAGCTCTTATTTATCTTATTTATTTATTTTCTGGTACCGCATCAGGCCTTCACACACACCTCCAGCGCTGTCCACACACACACGGAGCTCCCAAAACTCGGCTCTGCATTCTGCACTCTCCTACTGCTCACACTTTCAATCCAGAGCCGTAAGCAGCCTCTTGCTGCGCCTCACACACGCACAGGCTGAACTCAGCTTACACACACAGTGAAGCTTCTCTACAGCTGTGCCTTTTTTCTCTCGCTTCTGCAGCCTTCACTTCCCAAATCTTGCTCCAGTTACCTCTGCTGTTAACATCTACTCCTTTTTCCTTCATCGCCTTTTCTGCTGACTTTCTCAATAAAACCTTATTTCTCGTGGCTTCAACTGGGCTGCTTGTCATATTTATTACAGTCTCCATGCAAGCTAATTGCTCTCCCAGTGTACTCAGAATGTCATTAGGTCCCCATCCATCATCCTCCGTTCCACAATCATATTCTTTTTCCATCATTCTGTTAGTATGTTGCTGATTTTGGTGACAATTTGGACTGACGAGGGTTTTAGCCCATAGGGGGCTCTAACTCACCAGTATTAATTAGTGAGACAGTGCCAATGACCTTTGTGGTATTTCCTTCTTCAACCGTATTTCAGGTGAGGAAATCTTGCCTAGAGCATCCACAAAGGCGCGCTGTATTTCTCTCACTTACACATACAATTTGTTAGTACAGTTCATTCATTCATTACCCATCTTAACTGCGGTGGGTGTGGTGATCACCGCTTATTCAACTAATCCCTATTAGCTGTGATATGAAAAATCTATGTGTTTTTACACTTATCCTTACTATCTGCACTTGTGAGAGCAGATAATATGTTTGCTAAGCCTAAAGAGACTTATTCACTCTCATTTGGAGTTTATTCTGTCTCTTTTATTATGTAATTCAAGTTAATCAGTCAGCTCCATCTGTTTTACCGACAAAGCTGATTGAGACTTGACATTCATACAGCGTGTTCTCTAACTATAGCGTGTGTTTTGTGTCAAAAAAAAAAACAGTTTCATAACAACATTGCTCATTTCATGCAGAAACAGTTAAAAACATTGCTCATTTCATGCAAAAACAGTTACCTTAGAACATTTTTCTCATCTCATGCAAAGGTCCTCGACCTTTAGAATTTAGGGAGCTCTCTCTCTAGCCTCCCATGCCCTTAACCTGAACCAGGTCCTCGACCTGTGCTATAAAATTTAGGGAGCTCTCTCTCTAGCCTCCCAGGGCCTTAACTCGAACCAGGTCCTCGACCTGCAGTATTTTAGGGTTCCCACCCCTAAGGCCTTACCCTAGCTTAAAGGTGCCTTAGTCAGTTTTGAAATTTTATGCTCGCTATTGCCCCCTCAGGCCAAAGGTGTAACTGCAGCTTCAATAGTAGGCTCGTGCACAAGGCGCGCGTGCTATATGTGCACGCTCCCGAACAAAAACAGCTGCGTCAGCCCCGTACCGGTGAATTTACAGGTTTGCCGGCATGACTTCGACAGAGGTAATAATTGTAAAATATTTAGACCAAATCAATTTGGGCTGCATATTTTCCAGGTTGTGATAGGTGCATGCATAGCAAAGTGAGTAGAGTGAGGAAGCATAATAATACCGATATATGAATACATTATGTATGATGTTGAAAAAAATACTAGTACACAAATTATGCATAAACGTAGGCCCTATTATAATATTAAAATAATTGCACTGGTAGTTAATAAGCACTTTACTGGTTGCTACTTGACAAGTACAGGCCATTTACTAGAAAAAAAATCATGTGATGGACTGCTACTTTTTTTCTTTTACTAGAGTAAAAATACATAGAGGTACTGCTACTATAACTTGAGTGCACCTTTTGTGTACTCTACCCACCTCTGCTTTTCTTTTGCATCCAGGTAAAGATAGTCTTAGCAACATTATTTTCATCAAATGTAAATACACCATTACCTAAATGTTTTATGGATTATTACAGCGAAGCTTTTGTAAAACATGCATTCCATCACATCAACGTGTAAGCCTTATTACTTTTCCTTCAAGGAATCCAGTGCATCTCATTACTCCGAAGTTTCTGAAGAGAGTAGTGATTCTGGAGGGGGCAGAGGGAGAGCAGGCAGAGGAGCAGGCAGAAGAGCAGGAAGAGGAACAAGGAGAGGAGCAGCCAGAGGGAGAAACATATATGAAAGTACAGGCCGGGGGAGAAGCCAGGCTAGAGGAAGAAGAGCTAGAGCTGGACGCATTAGTGAGGAAGACTGAGAACGGGTTGCTCAGATGTCTGCTGACAGAACTGCAGAGTTACAGGTTGGTCATAATGCAGAACACTAATACATTTCACAATCATAAAGTTTATAAAATAAATGCTGCCTTTCGTTTTCAGGCACAGTTGCAACACCTAAGTATGGATTAAAAAGATGAAGTCCTTCAGATGGTTGTTAGACGTCTGCCAGGAGTGTTACTGGACATTATGGACTATAGACAGGCCACACCAGGACACCCTCCATCAAACCAGGGTCAGCCAGCTTGGTGCACCTGCTCCTACTGCCGAATGATGCCTACAGACCTGGAAAACAAGTGCTGTAGACAGGATCCAGAATGGTGTTTGAGCAGGCGTGCTCATTTTAACCTGTACTGCATGGATGAAGGCATCCTGCATTTGGCTCGGCAGATGTGGAATGACATTTTGGCTCTGCGTGATAGCCAAGACCCTGGATCAGATAATCGGGAGTACCGTTACTGTGCCTATAGACAGTACACTATTTGGCAATATGGACGTCTTGGCGCTGGCAATCGTAGGGTGATTCCTTCCTGCTGTGTTTGGAGGATTAGAGACAAATACCCTGACCACTTAGGGATTTATGTTGGTTATAAAGAAGCCCCCTTCCGCTGAAACAAACATGCAACTCATGACCAACTCAGAAGTTTGACTTACTTTTATTGTTGTTGCAAACTTTTTGTACATATTTACATAAATAAATCTGTAGTGTTCAACTTTGATTGCCATCAGCCTCTGTTTAGGTATCACATAAGTCCTGTAAAAAACAAAAATTACATTTATGTAATTTTCTTCCACAAAAATGGAGAGGAGATTTGGTTATAATCACTACCTGTCCTCTGCGTTGTTGTGTCTGTACCAGTTCAGCTGTAGGAGGAGGGCTGATCCCGGAGAGAGGACCCAGGGCCCTGGGGTCATCAGCCTGAATGCTTCTTCTTTCTGGGAGTCCCCCAGCAGAGCTGAGGCGCTTCTCCAGGATTCTTGTCTGCAGCTCTGGGATGTAGCCGTAGTCTTTGGTCTCCTTTACAGTGTGAACACTGTAACGCTGCGACTTTTTGTTGTAGACTCGTTTGTGTCTAAAAAAATGAATTTAGACATTAGGAAATTATATAAAGGTATTATGAATATATAAAAGCCACCAAGTTTGACTTACGATACTTGGCCTTTGATGTTCACATGCACTGGGCGATGGTTATGGTGGTTGTAGTCTAATGCAGCGAGGAGTGTCCTAGCTTCATAGACACCAAATGAGAATGCAAAGCGTTTCCCGGCGTACATCAAGATGTGATTTTGGAACGACTCCAGCTCAGCAGTGGTCCTGGGGGAAAAAAACAATGTCTGTAGAAGAAATAAATTCTAACTCAGCGCAATATAATATACTTTGTGGTAGGTATTACAACATTACAGATACTGGAATCAGGGCAATACCAATCTAATGTCCTCATGTGTGTAGTTTACAGATAACAAGAACCAATACTAAAAATTTAGAAACTGCAGTATTTTCATCTAAAATATTAATTTTCAGATAAAATTTCATATTAGTGGTTGTTTATTTGTGTTTTACATTTTATCTAAATCTACTTCAATTGTAGCACCAGGCAGAGAAGACAATAAAACCAGTCTTCTGCTTCATTGCATTGTTTGGTGTGGTATAAGTAACTGTTATGGTACTTGTTATTGGAAAGAACTCAGATCCAAGTGCAGAGATTGTATTAGTTAGAAAAAAGCTGCATTGTTGTTTTCCAATTTTGTTTTACTGTTAGTAAGACAATAACTTTACATTTCCACCAAATGTCAGTAATTTACCTAAAGGTGAGCAACTTCTCTATATCCTTTAGCCATCGCTGGTTCAGAACAATCCGTGAAAGCGCCACATGTGCAGCAGATCCATGTGGAATGAGCTCTTTGTCTGGGTTCTCCGCCAAAGGAGCATGAAAGCACCTGCCAAAGCCCCATTCATGCTCTCCAGTCACGTGGTGAAGTACACCCTTCCAGACATCCTAAAAACACACAAAGTAGAAAATACAAACATTTACATCGTGAGTAGAAAAAGATAATGAACCATGGCAGCAAATATAAACAAAAACATTACATTAGTGGACGACTGTATACATGAATACTGTGTTTGTACAAACCATAAACTCTTCTCTGGTGCTTGTGTGCTGACAAGCATACCAAAAATGGTTAACAATGTCCTTGATCCATCCAAGTATAAGCTTTTGACCAGAAATCATTCCAACCTGTTTGAAGGCAAGAAAAACTAGTAATTAAAATAAAGTCTGAACAAGCCAGGATTATTACCATCATAATACATTTTGACATACAGCATGAAGTTTCTTTGTCAGATTTTTTGCGGCGTGCCAGACATCAAGCGAATGGGTAATAGCCTGATCCTTATCTGCCCCTTTCTGGATCTGGTCAGAAAAAATTAAAAACAGTCTTTTAACAATCTGGTTTCGAATTACCAGTAAAAACTCTGAAGTTTTGTGAAAATCTTACGCATGAGAGCAGCAATTTGTACATGGGCATCAGTCACAATCTCCTTGATGTTCACCTCCTTTGTGAGACTGTCAAATGTCTGTATAAAGGCAGCCTTCTCCATGACCCCACTTTTATAGCCAACCCATCTTTTGTCCACATTGACAACACTGATGATGTCCATGGTGTCTAGATCCATCGTTGTGTATGTACAGCACATTGCTGAGTGACCTTTTTTTTAAGAGATACAGAAAATTGTAAAATAACAATGAAAAGAAATATTTCAACTGATCTTAAAATTAAATTTCAAAAAGCTTGTTCGTTACCTGGAGTCCATCCTCCCGTCAGCTAAAAAAGAAACACAGAAATATAAGCATGTAATGAATATGAGCCTTTACAAGTAAACATATTTAGTTACCAAGAGCAACCATGCGGTCTTTTGACTGCAGTTTCTTGATGATGGCATTCCTCTTCTCCTCCCAAAACTGCTGTATTGATTTTAAACAGTAGGTACCCTGGACTGAGTAGAAGGTTTTGGATGTCACCATGCGGATATTCATGAATCTGAACAGGAGAGCGATCTTGGATAAGTTGTTCCCTGACAGGAGAATGTTTGTTGACAACATGAAATCTCCTCCTTGCATCCCATATTTCAGCTTTGGCTGGCTGTTCCAACTCCATAATTTATGTCCACGTGGGCAAAACTGTATTAAAATACAAACAAAACCAAAAAAAAGTGGAAATGGCGCTTCACACATATTTCACATTCCTACAGTTGTACTGCTTCCTTATTAACATAAGTGGCAAGCATTAGAACATAAACTCACCCACTCAATTATCAAAGCTGTACCTCTCGGACGTGACTTTACATGAAAAGGAGGATGGCCATCACAATATGTGCCTGTGCTGTGGTCACTGTAGTGGCATTTACTGAGAGGCAGTTGGAGGAAATTGGCCATCTGGAGCAAGCTTTTGCTGTATGCTATGCACACTTGCTGGTTTATGAGGTCACTTTCAACAAGCACTTGATCGTGTATTGGGAAAACTGGAATGGATGCTGCTGATGGTGCTTCTAAATTCTCTTCCAAATCTGCCTCCACACAATCAGCAATGTCAAATACAGCTTCATCCAGGCCAATGCTAGGAAGTTGGTCAACTTCATCCTGTGAGACACACCTATTGCACAAGATTTTTTTATATATATAATCAGTGAATAGAAAGTGACAGTGGGGATGTTACTACTTATTTAAAAAATTCAATTATGAAACATACCTTATTGATATTGGAGGTACATAATCTGAGTCATACGGGTCTAAAGCTCCTTCTCCTTCAAACTCTAATCTGGAATTAAATACAGCAGCAAAATATGACAATATATACTGACATATATCATTTCAATGACAATAATTTGTTACTTACAAACTGTTTTCCAAACTATTGGCTCTTTCCTTGTCTAAATAGTCCACTTTCAGCTCCATCGATTTGATGCTACAAAAACAAACAGAATACATTAATTATGAAAACAGAGGGTATGCATCAAATGATTAAAAGCCCTGCATATTTACCTTTCCTCCAACAATTCTACCTCTTGATCTGCTTTTAGAGGTTCAACTCCTGCGATCTGGAAGTCATCCCTGTTGACAAGTACACAGTATTTATTTTATTTGATGTGGAGAACAATTATCTGACATATGAGTTGCATTTTGTTTACAAGTGAACTTACCTATCAGATTCCCCTGCAGTTACTGAACTGGGGCGACAAGGACCTGCAAACACTGCTGTAGATGGCCCACGTGGTGTTGATGTAAGTGGTCCCTTTGATGAAGCGTGCTTCTCATAACTAAAAAAGTAAAGCAACTTTCAATACTCCAGTCATGTGTACACGTTAACAATTGAGATTCTGTTATATAAACAATAGATTTGATTAGCGACGCAGTTTTACAAAGTTTAGACTTCTTTTACACAATTCTAGTACATTACACTAACAATATACTGTAATTTCCGGCCTAAAAGCCACTATTATTTCCCTGTGCTTTGAAGCCTGCAGCAAATATCATGGTGCGGCTCTAAACTTGCAGGCACGTTCACCCGTGTTTAAAATTCGTTTTTGTGAATTAAAACAACAACGAAAAAATTCCGTGTAGCGTCTTTCTGTCTAATTATCTTGTGTTATGGCCAAACATGCGCTGTGCGCCAGCTTGTATTTGGGTGCTGGTGTGTAGAAAACACTTTTTTTTTTTTTTGCTGATGCGGCTGGAAATAGGTAATCTGATGTGTAGACGCTAGACAAGCAGCCTATAAATGTTATGATATACGGAAACCCCCCATCTTACTTTGAAAGCATCCACAGCCCTTTCCCCACACGTGTTTAGTAATAATTTCTTACCTTTTCAGCAAAAATGATGCCAGCTGCGGGTGTGTTTTCATCCTGAGAGACTTTCTCAGCATTTTCCACTCCTCAAATGCTGGACCGATATTTATCCTCGTTCGTTGCCTTCGGCGATCATACTCGAGTTGTGCCCGTTTACCTGCGCTGGAATGCACTCTTCTTGGTTTCTTTGACTTGTTTGGGGTCTGGGCTGGAGTTCCGCTAGTGCTTGAAGCAGCTCTCTTCTTGTTCTTTGCTGAATCCATGCTAGCTAAACCACCTCTCGCTCTGCCGCTAAGCTATCGCTAGTAAACAAACGCTGCGGGGATAGGCCTGAGCGTGAACGCGCATGACGTCATCACGCATTACACTGCCTCTGGAAGACCCGGGGGAAGCCTGCCTGCTGGACCCGAGCAAAATCTTATTTTTGATTTTAAAGACCTATAGAGACAATCACAGTAAAATGCCAGGGCTCATTCTACAGAACCAGGGCATTGCAGGAGAATGTTTTAAGAAGAAATGTTTTATTTCTATACATGTTCTGGCTGTAAAACTTGCCTATAGTCCCTTTAATATAACCTCGTTATATTTTCTATTCACTCGTCAGCAAATAGTGTGGTCAGCCACGACCTGGAAAATGGATTTTAGGGCTTTTCTAATAACCCTGGGTCTCCAACCTCAAACTCTGTTCTATTTCCTTATCTCATTTATCATTAAACCATTGTAAAAAAAAATCCTTATCTTATTTTACCATTAAACCATTACAAAAATCTCTTGTTTTTTCTGCACTTGTCTCCACTTTCTTCTCCAACTATTATTTTAGGACCACAGCTACTATGATTCTGGACACAAAGGCTTTGGATAAATCCAATAGGCAGATTTTAGATAAAAGGCTCTGCTTACCTTATTTCCACCGCGGTGTTTTTGTGCCAAGATCGTTCACTGGGTCGGTTGGTCGAATCGTCCTCCAAAAACTCCTTTTTCTTCAAAAAGAAAAAATCCTGTTTGTGACGCCAAATTTGTTGGTCTTTCTTCTGTTAGACCAAGCACAGGTACGGAGAAGATGGAGTTAAACACCTTTTAAGTTGGCAGAATGTGGAGTCAAATGATCAGAAGTCCAGTCACTGTTTTCACCGCTCATGAGGGGGAGAGCCTCTGCAACTTCAGCAGGTCCCGCGATCTGCTCCTGACAGTTGCTTCAGACAGACTCTCGCCGTTCTGCTGAAAACGGCTGATTTTTATTGAAGATTACAGGAATGTTACATACGCAGTTTGCCATGTACATACGTCATTGGTCATGACAGGTAAAAAATAACAGCCTTGTTAGTGGACAGTTAATTCATCACGAGAACATGCATCCTTGAGATTACTAGGAACATCCTGATACATGAAGATACATTTCACCGGTACCGAGAGGAAATTGAGAGGAGCTGGAATGTGCTCACTCCCTTCAAGGTTGCAGAACAGAACATGCTGCTGTAAATCTTTGTGTAGAGGCCTTGAGTATCTGAGCAAGTGTCCATAGCATAGAGTAATACAAATGAGCTCATAAGGTAAATATATAAAAGAAGCTTATAAGGTAGATACATATATTTTCATCGCGCATGTCTCATTGAAAATGAATGGAGGAGAGGCGAAGTTGCCTCCCGTGTGTCGAGCCCATTAGAAGAGCACGAGCCGTAAGTGCACGCAATGAGGAAGTGCACGTGCACTCTAAACCAGGTCTGAACCAGGACTAGACCAGTAAAGTGAAGCATGCTTTTGGCTGTTTATAATTTTCACAATGTCTGGTTTGCACTGATATGTTCTGAGTCCCGAGCCTGCATAGATGTTTTACCAGTATGTTTTACCGTGCCCCCGCCCACGCCCTATAACCCGGTGCGCCTTTTGTATGTGTTAAATACAAGCCCCTCATGACACTCATGACAACTCTGCGGGGGGTGAATTTTTTTTCTCACTCTTCTGTTTAAGTGTATTAAAAGCCTAAAATTATGTATAATTAATGAGCATCCGACACACATGACCGCCGCCTCAGACGTGACCACAGAGCTAACTCCGTGGAAAGGCCTCAGTAGAGCCTCGGTCTCGCCTGGAAACTGTTTCGGGATTTTGAGTCTCTGTGTTTGTGTATTCTGTTTTGGATATTATTTGTGCAATTGTTGGACAAAATGACTTGCTGTGGTATTAATTGCACTAATAGAGCATCCAAGGAGTCTCCACTTCATTTTTTTGGTAAGTTAAATTATATTTATGTATTTTAGGTCACTGCCGCCTTTAAACTAGCTGAGTTTATCAAAGTAGCTAGCTAACTATCATTTTAACATGTAGCATGTACTGTTTAACCATGAAATTTAGATGTAAAATACGGTAAAATAATTAATAGGGCATATGTCAATGGGTAAAAGGGTAAAACCCAGTGCATTTTACATAAAAATGGGTTGAAATATGATGGAGCTCTAGGAGGGACACTTCTGTGTTCCATTCTTCCACCCGGTTCTCCCCAGCGGTCAGCCCGGTGCATGTCTGACCGATGCGGCGCCTAGCTGCTGCACGGGCTGACCGCTCGTGGAGCTCCCGGACTTTCAGATGGACATTCTGGAATATGTGTGGACAATTCAGTCCGGTTTTTAACCATTACTGTGTTTTCAGACACACCACTTTTGTACCAGAACTTGTCCTTTCGGCTGCCTTCACACAGCAGGGAAAAGTTCCAGATGTCGGGGGGGGGGGACATAGTGCGGCGGGCATACATGCGTCATTTACCCAAACAAAGCCATTCAGTCAAACATGGCAGAGGAAGAGATAGAATTCCTCACACTGATCGGACTTATGTTAAGCATAGTTCTGCGCACACAAAGACGCATAAGAGACCTGGATGATGAAGCTCAATTGTTAAAGGAATCACGGAAGCGGTGTGAAGAGCTCCGTCGCGTG